AAAAATATAACACATTATTAGAAGGAGTCCCTTTAGGCAAGGTTCCGCAGATACTGGCAGCGTTCCCACTTTGAACAGCTAGGTTAATTCTTTGTTCGAGGTAGCTGCCAGCTCTTCGGTCTCCTGTGATGTCGAATAACCTTCTTGCTATTTCCTTAAAAAGCCTTATAGCGCTAGGACCCCACGGACTAAGGGTCTCGACACCGAATGGGACAAAATCATATTCGGAGCTTAGATCCCTGTATTTGCATGCCTAAGCTTTTTCAGCCGCTTCACAAGCCGCGCCAGCTCATTTGTTGGTTCCATGTAGATGGGAGGGGCCAGCGTGTCTGAACAGGTTGTATCCCATACCAGCACCCGGCCCATCTTCCAAGGAATCAAACTTATACCGTCCGGTCTCTTGCAATACCAGTCGGCTCAAGTAGACTTAGCGCTAGCGTTGACGGTGGGAAGGGACCGGCGTATGATATAAATTGTGTAATAACGTTATAAGTTCATAGTCAAAGTTTTAAGGGAAAATATATTTTTTTCTTTTTAGCGCCATTAAATAAAAGCTTGTTTTTAAAAAAGTCTTCTACTTTTATTAAAATGATTTCTGAAATGTTTCCTTTAAAATCATAATTTAAATGAATCTGACAAAACGTAGACGTTTATAAAAACGAGAGAAATGTTACTCCTTAGTGTATATTTTCTGTGTACTGGATCTGTTCGTTGGATATGTAAAATACTGAAAATATGCAAATCTGCGTTAGACGATGAATGTGTGAGAAAAATACTGCATATGCATTTTATTCATGCTATGACCTCTACTTTGTCTAATCATTGTCCTTTGAAAGTGCACAGTATGCAGATCTTAGTACTGGAAAGCGTTTTATTCTTCATTCAAACGCTGTCTGCTGAATTATACAAAGCTCGGAATTATAATTTGTTGAGGACAATCTAAAAATTTAATACGGATTAGACGACGACTGACTAGTTTTGAAAATGGATGGCATAATCCCGCCGTTCAATTATGTAGCCATCTGTTTTTTTAACTTCAATTTGGGTAAATAATTAAAAAAAACAGATGGGTGTAAAAAATCTACAGTAATGCACCCGTTTTCACGTGGCAACGCTAACGTTGCGGCTGACTGAGAGGTTGATAATAGGCAACCATTGATTTTTGATTTATCGACATTATTTCATTAAAATCAAAAAATCAAAAAAACATAATATAAATGCACATACAAAAAAATATGACACTGAATGATTTTTGAAAGGAAATGAAAGGTGTTTGCGGCTGTTTTTTTAAGTTTTATTAAAAAAATAAATGGCAACAAAATTCAGCGGCGGGATCTCGGGCTATCTCTCAATGTGGCTTTCCGTGTGCAACATTAAAATCAATTTGGGTCAAGCAATCGGTCGTAACGAGGATGTTACGGGCTTGTGATAATCTCGCTGTCAAACGCAAACTTGCTCGATCACCGCAGTAGATACGGTGGATTACATGTTTGAAAATTCCACCCGCCCCACAATGAACCTTTCCGATAAAAAATAAATTGAATTCACAGCGTTGATATTCGTCAGAGTAGAAATCTGTACTTTACTGGAATAAAGTGTTTAATTGTTCTGCGATTGTGAGTAATACTGATAATGGTCCAAACGTTAGTTAATTATACAATATCAATAGTTTGATTTCATTTTGTTCAAATTTTGATGTAGGATCTCATTGTGCCAAATAAATATGCTTACAATTGAGTTTGATTTTGTGATATTTGCTTTCATTTTGTAATTATAACTTAATAGTTAGTTATTGGTAGTTAGGGTCAAATAAATAAACTCAAAATTACAAACAAGAATTTTAAATAAAATACTTTATTAAGTAAATTAAATAATAAATTCATACATAGACAATAAAATTTTAAAAATCTTCCAATGAAATAACCGAACGCTCAATATAAGTCTTTCGAAGGTAGCTCGACAATTTTAAATAAAAAAACATTATTCTGACGATGCAGACCTGAAAAGGCTGCGAAACGTCAATAAATAAATAAAGTTTCGTGCATTAACCCGTAAAAACTAGTTTTATTTAATGAGTGATGTGCGTGAAAACCTAAGAAACAAATAATTATCACTTGTTTGTGATCTCAAATAAATAATGAAAAATCAATTAGAATCAGTGTTGAACATCTCATTATCTCATTGTAAAGATTTCATAAAAACCACGAACCCTTAATATAATTTGTTCTGTATTGAAAGAGAAGGTTAAATAAATAAAATAAATATTTCCAACACTCACACAAATTAGCCTAGCCCCAAACTAAGCACTGTAAAGCTTGTGTTATGCGATGCTAGGGTTACGGACAGAATACATATACTGTACATATATACGACTATTTATATAGAAATAATAATTAAACATCCATGACTGGAGTACAAATGCTCGTATTCGTCACACAAACATCTGCCCCCACCGGGATTCGAACCCCGGACCTCTCGAGTCGGTGACACCATGAAACCCGGTGTACAAACCACTCGGCCACGGAGGTCGTCATCGGCTACGGTTATAAGTATAGTTTAATGTTTTATAGTGCATGTACTTTCTGTCATACTTCGTGACTGTTAATTTTGTTTTGTCATCTTCATTAGCTTAATAGTGGAGCACAGGCCATCCCAATGGAATAGAGGGATGATGTCATAACCCATTACGTGAGCCCAGTGCGGCGGTGCCTAACGACTTTATGTGTTTTTTAAAGCACGGAGGACCGCGAGATTTTCGTCACCTATTCTATGGTGAGCCATTGCGAAATTTAACTAACTTTCACAATCGCAGATCGACCACTCCAACCACAGCTTCATCCAGCTGCTCATTTCCTACAAATTATATATTCGAAATTAATTACGTTGTAGTGAATATTAAGTGGTGAGATTTTGCGTATTTAATTAAATTGGACGCAATGGGAGTTCGCCATTAAGAGACTTATTGAGTCTGTCAGGATTATTAAATGAATCCATAGATAAGTATCCTTATTGTTGGATTAGCAATTGTGGAAATATAATATTTTATCTACTTTGGCACCTGATATTGTGGATGGTTGTGGTACCTGCAAATTATCTAAATATCATGCGACGCCATGAAACCCGGCGTACAAACCACTCGGCCACGGAGGTCGTCAAACTTGGATCGCAAATTATTACGCCACCGTGAGCTATAATGTCTATATAGCTCACGGTGGCGTAATCATCATCCGTCGGATCATATGCTTGATTACCGGTTTCCACCGCTTTCACTTGGAAAGTAAACATGTTTACTCCTGTTCTATTTCAACGTTTTACGGGGGGCTCTGTCCAAAAGCCTTATCATTTTTCAACACGTACACAAACGTCGCTGTATCGGTCCCACACTGGTTCTTTTCGTGTTTCATTCCGCCCAGCGAAATAAATGATCCCCGAAACGTTGCTTCCCGGCATTCAGAGCTACTCGCTTTATATATTTGTATGAGAAGGTATCTCTACCTATCTGACTTTTCCGAGGACATTAATTATTGTATACGACTTACGAAAAGCACTTTTCACCTTTGGTTTTGTTTTATTTATGTTTGATGTTTTTATCTGTATACGAGAGCACCATTAACGTGACTCGCGCTCGTAAGAATAGCCTCTAATAGAAAATATTGTTATGTGCCTTGCTATTATAAATTACTTCGTGTGATAAAACTTTTTTTGAATGGGTATAAAGCACGTTTTTATTCGTTGTTACATCATTCATGTTGTTACGGGCCTTTTACAGCTGAGCTTTAGTGGCTCCGCGGTAGCAAGATAGAGGTTATAATAAAATTTTGACTAGACAACTGACCAGTCAGTGGCAATAGCAATTTTACATACAAAAACATCAATTGCGTAAGTTTGTTTGTCTACAGTTTTACTCAAGATGTTTGGCGCTATTTATAACAGTGAAGTTAGCATCCAGCGCAATTATGCGCAGTGTTATTCAGTCCCTATATTTTGTCGCAGCAACTTGCGCTGACTTCACAGCCGCCATAAAATTGAAATAGCACTTTATTCATATACCGTGACGAGTTGTCAGTGGAGGTGGAGCTGTGGCGGGTAGCGGTCGCCCTCTGTGGTGACTTGCATGCGCAGCACGCCCGGCCTTGCCCACTATTAGTCACGTCAGGCACTGGGGCACTTCGCTTCTAACCCTAAGTAAGTTGTCATAGCCGTGACGAAGTAGTACTCACGTGACGAGTTGCCAGTGGTGGTGGAGCTGTGGCTAGTTGTGGACGCGGCGCCGGGCGCCCACTGCGGTGACTTGCACGCGCTGCACGCTCGACCCCGCCCTCTGTCTGTCACGTCAGGCGTTGGGGCACATCAAGTTTGAATCGCACTGTACTCACGTGACGAGTTGCCAGTGGTGTTGGAGCTGTGGCTAGTTGTGATCGCGGCGCCGGGCGCCCACTGCGGTGACTTGCACGCGCTGCACGCCCGACCCCGCCCTCTGTCTGTCACGTCAGGCGTTGGGTCACATCAAGTTTGAATCGCACTGTACTCACGTGACGAGTTGCCAGTGGTGGTGGAGCTGTGGCTAGTTGTGGACGCGGCGCCGGGCGCCCACTGCGGTGACTTGCACGCGCTGCACGCCCGACCCCACCCTTTGTCTGTCACGTCAGGCGTTGCGGCACATCAAGTTTGAATCGCAATGTATTCATGTGACGAGTTGCCAGTGGTGGTGGAGCTGTGGCTAGTTGTGGACGCGGCGCCGGGCGCCCACTGCGGTGACTTGCACGCGCTGCACGCCCGACCCTGCCCTCTGTCTGTCACGTCAGGCGCTGTGGCACATCAAGTTTGAAGCGCACTGGACTCATGTTACGAGTTGCCAGTGCTGGTGGAGCTGTGGCTAGTCGTGGACGCGGCGCCGGGCGCCCACTGCGGTGACTTGCACGCGCTGCACGCCCGACCCTGCCCTCTGTCTGTCACGTCAGGCGCTGAGGTACATCAAGTTTGAATCGCACTATACTCACGTGACGAGTTTCCAGTGGTGGTGGAGCTGTGGCTAGTCGTGGACGCGGCTCCGGGTGCCCATTGCGGTGACTTGCACGCGCTGCACGCCCGACCCTGCCCTCTGTCTGTCACGTCAGGCGCTGGGGCACTTCGCTTCTTACCCTGAATTGTAATGGCATTAACTGCTAAAACTGTGTTAGAACTAAAACTTCGAGTAATTTATTATGGTATACATCTTTATTCTACCTGGATTCAAAGCAGGCATTTTAGCTACTGTTTTACAATAACTACATACGAATGTAATATAAGCTTGGTAATAATTCAAAATTTCGTTACAGCCATAAAGGGTTATTTGTTTAGGAAACACACACCAAGGCATAGGATTTAAAATATATTATATATTTTTTAATTACTATTGAACATGAAATAAGATGTTGATGAATCGATCAAGATTGAAATTTATTCGCGATATTCGTGAGACTAATAATATGTAAACTGAATATACACCATTATTGCATATATTTGCATTACCTATTTACCTTACTAAGTTGATGTATATTTTGTAAAATGAGTATTTTTATTTTAACTTCGGAAAAAGGTGAAACGTGACATGTTTATTCATACATAATGATTCATATTAACCGCATTTTCAGTTTATCTTCTTCTTGAAAACTCCAAAAGGTAAAACTTTTGAGGAAGCTATAATACAAAACATGATTAATTAATTAAAAGTTCGATGATTAGAATAGAAAAAAAAACATGAGTGGAGCACAAACATCGCAGATTCGGAATATCATGTACCAAGAGATATGGGTACCTATAACATTAAAATAACACCTATTGCAATATATGGAGGCCACAAAATGCTCTACTTCACTCTTTTAATGGTTGCTACGATTGATTTTATGGGGCTCATATTTGTGGGGAGGTTCGTGCTACTTTTTTTCTTTATTACTTAGATAAAATTTCTCTGTGAACAGGTGGAGCGAGAAATTTGTTCCGTTCCGAAATTCAAAAATATTGTAGAGGTCTAACAACTTTATAGATGAGTGGTCAGCAAAAAGGCAGTTTTAACGGTTTCAATAATCAACCTCCAGTACCCTTAGCAAGCTCAGTACGAACCACTATCGAATTTGACAAAAGGATGTATTGTATGGAAGATATTTAATTCACATTACATCCATTATGGCGCTGTTCAAATTTCCATACAAACCTATTGACATTTGACGCGTATCGAGGTCGAATTAAACTATTCGATTTCGATATTGGTTCGTGCTAAGAGTAGAGTAAAGTTAAGGATAATCTGGTTCTGTTTCTTAGCAACAGTTTTTATTATAATGCCATCAAAAACATAATTTGTAAGAAAAACAAGTCTCGCAACTCAGTTCTTCTACCGTAAAAAGTTGTGAGATCCATGTAATACCAAGTCGGTTAATTTGTCGGTTTTAAATAAATAGATTGTTTAGGCCATCGCATGAAAACACAATGCATCTCTCAAGTAAAACATAATGGTGTCGGTTATGGCATGATTCTTTAAACTAAGAACTAAATTTAAGATCAGTCTCTCCTGTTCGTTCTGTATAGAGAATGATAAAGATACACTGTTGTCAAATTTAGGTTTAGGTTTAGAGAATTATGCCAGAATCGACACCAATACCAGTAGTAAATTAGATTATTTAGTGCGATTGCCAAGTATTTTTTTTTTATTTAAAACCAACAAATTAACCGCCTTGGTATTATATGGATCTCAATTTACTTTCCAGTACCTTCTACTTCTTGAATACCAAAAACGGATTATCTTTAAGCCCATTCTTTGTTTTATGAGTAATTTTTTTTTTGTAGATGCAAATGTCATCGTACTTTGTAATCGTACATATTTATATGGGATTACAAAGTTATTTATGCAGTTAGTGTATCTAGAAAATAGGACCGAAATTGTAAAATAAAAAAACCAAATTTAGACACTAACACTTTTCTAAATTTCGAGCTTCTATTTCTGCTAGAAGTGCCATCAAAACTCTAATTTTGATGATCGGTCAGTCAGTGAGTAACAAAATTAAGAAACTTTGACTAGTTATAATTCTTATAATACTCGTTCAAGTTTAAAGAAATTTGAAATATACCGTGTTTATACAATGCCTTCCGGGTTAGTGAAAAGTCAGGTTTCTAGTTTTATCCACAGTGAAGTTATGGGTGGTCCAAAATGGCCTCAACTATTTGGAGAAAAGGAAGGACTACGGCCGTGCGTGCCGCTTTTTTCGCGACTTGGAGGGGCCGTGCCCCCAGATCTAAATAATAAAAATATCTTAAGTCACTAAAGATCTAGAGGCCTATCTCTTACTGGAGTTTGATTATCGAAACTGGTTGTAAGCGTTCCCTGTCCAACAGTAAAGTGAAATTGGGGGCTTAGACAAGTGAAATATTTTTATATGTTTAAACGATATGGGGGCGAACTCTGATATTTTGTAACACTTGTCTAAGCCAACTGCGCAAATAAATGTGAAAGAAACGAAGCGATTGTACGACCAATTGTTTGTTTAAGTATTGGCTGCACTATGGCTTTCTCTCTTTCTACAGAGTTGTTAATTTTCTGCAAGTCAGTATCACTCAGAAACTAACCTGTGTATCGTAAAAAATTGAAGGTATCCTTGTGTCGTGTGTCTGATCGCAGGTACAGTGGGCGTGCAGAGTCCGCGGGCCCATCATGACCAAATCGGCGTCCAGGAAAGTCTGCGGGTCGTCGTCAACCAGGTCACTGCGCGTGCTGCGTGACTCCGCTGTCGTGTCGTCCCGTGACCAACTCTCTGACCCTCTATACCGTTCGCTTGGAAAGTCGTTGTACGACATTTGCCTCCTTATACTCCTACATCGACTTCTATTATCTAACGTGGAAAATTTCATTGATTCTAAAGCGGGGGAGTGCCTAGTGAGCAGTTCATCGTTATTGTCAAAACTTTTCATTTTCACCATTTTGTGTGATGACTTTCTGATCGTATCCGTGTTGGAACTGCAATCTTTGAGCCTATCGAAACATTGGTCCACGTTACCAGAAAAATTTGCGTAAGTAGGTGCGTTAGTTTTCAATTCGTCTTTAGGCGGGTACCTCGTCGACGTGAAAATACAACTTTGGCTGTTAACCCTCCGTTGAGACTTGTCTACGAGTGACAGCATAGATAGTTTCTTGAGAGGGCTCGTCGAGCCCGATGTTATCTCGGCGAGTTGGACCGCGTTCGTATGTTTTTTCAACACCGAGTCGCCCCCCATCTTTTTTAAGTTGGAAAGTTTCCTTTTTATTTTCTGTACGAGTGTGTTCGTGGGGTCATACGATATTAATTGTTTCGAAATGTAGTTGGAGACTCCGATAGTTTTGCTTTTGGTATGCTTTCGATCTAGACTGCGGTGTGACCCGATTGCGAGGTGGCTGCGACCAGTTTCTCTTTTGATTCTCTCGAGGTCATAAATGTTGAGGGTGTGCCCTCGGTGATCTTTCGCATCTTGATGGTAGTTTAAATAGTTGTTTTGCTGTATGTTACAGCTGCAGACCAGGTTGAATTCGTGATCTGATATATGTTTGTCGAGACACTGCCTTTGGGCGGCTAGAGCGAGGCATGCTTCGCAGTCGACGCCTAGGAGGAGTTCGAGGCTGGTGTTTCTGATAAAGCCGTCGCTGAAGGTGCGGGAGCGGAAGTGTGCGGCGTGCGGACCGAGACGGGGGTCCCACTCGGGCTGTGGCGGCACCGGTCCCGCGCTGGTCTCGCCGTCCACCATGGTGGAGGCGTCCCGGTTCACGTGGATGATGCGCGGCTGCCGGAACACTCGGCTGTCGCTCCTCACCGAACACCGCGACGGCGATGGCGACGGCCGCTTGTAATTTTCCACTTGAATCAAATCAAATCAAAATTTTAGTTAACTCTTTTAAGGATTTGTAGTACTTTTTATTTTATTATAATTTTATGTTGGCATTTTGAAAGGACGTGGCTAAGAAACTGCACTTAACGTGTGACTTGTCTGGCCATAAATTCTGTTACATAAAAACTTTTCTTTTTTTCAACTATTTAATTATTTTGAATTTGTTACACGTTATTTTAAAAACTTCTTTGATAAATTTCACATATTTTTCGTGTTCATTATCAAATTAAAATATGGAATGGGATGTTAAAGAAAATAGAATTGCAGTGATCGCCTTGCTTAAAGTGAGTATGAAGCCGTCGGGCATATTCCAGACACTTCAAAAGCTTGGTATCAGCCGTTTGTTCGTACATCGCACTATCAACAGATGCAAAAACACTTCATCTGTCGAAGACCAGAAAAGATCGGGGCGGCCGCGTGCTGTAAGAACTACAAAGGCTGTTAATGCTGTTAAAGCCAGAATTCGTCGAAACCCCATTAGGAAGCAAAAAATCTTATCGCGAGCAAGGAGATTGCCCCTAAAACTCTGTCGCATATTATAAAACCAGACCTGAAGCTCGGTGCTTATCGTCGATATACAGGAAATGCCCTAAATCAATCTTTACAATTAAAGAGAGTGGTTCGATCAAAACGCCTTCGAACGATGAAAAAATTTTCACAATTGAAAAACACTACAATAAGCAAAATGATAAAGTGCACGCTCACAGTTCTAAAGAAGCTGCTCAAGTGTTCGGAAAGGTGCAACATGGTCATTGTCCTGCGTCAGTGATGGTTTGGTGGGGCGTGTTAAAGAGTCACAAAACTACATTTTTGTATATATAGGAATACTTCAGCCAAAGTGTATCAAGATACAATCTTGGATCATGTTATGAAACCTCTCAGCAATACACTTTTGAAAAATATACCGTGGACTTTCCAGCAGGATTCTGCATCTAGTCACAAGGCACGAACTACCCAAGCCTGGCTTGAAACCAACGTTCCGGAATTTATAAGAGATGAAGACTTCATATTATGGTTAATTTTAGAGGACATAGCCTGCTCTAAACGAAACGGCGTCATTGACTCTCTTAAAAAATCTTTGGAGCTAGCAGTGGCGAAATTTCCCTTGGAAACAGTGCGTAAATCCATAGATTCGTTGCCAAACAGATTAAAGACCTGTTTAATAGCCTAAGGTGGCCATTTCGAAGTTATTTCAAAAAAAATGCTTTGACTTAAATAAATATGTAGGTATAAATTCTAATAATATTACATTATTTTATTAAAAAAGAAATGCATTTTCATTTGTAACAGAACTTATGGCTGGACTAGGTAAAGTTATTTCGCACCAGCCCGTAACATTTGTTTATTAATTATGACGAGCTAATAATTATCATACAACTTTCGTGAAATAATCAAATTTTAAAAGTATAAAAATTAACTTTATGTCTGTATCAAAAGGAAAATTTCCATTTAAATAAAATGAATATATAAGAAATATATCTACACATAAAATAATTGTGTAAGTATATCGAAATACACAATATTAATACAAAACTCCTACAAACTATGACATATTTGTCAGAAATTTGTTTTTATAACAAATCACTGAAGGTTAAAAATAATAGATTTCATTTTTCGGATCAGATTTGAGTCGCGAAAGAACAAAATGAAACTTCACAGGTTTCCTGTCAGGTCGACGGCAGCAAAAAATTATTAGTATTTATTTTTAATAATAATATTTCCAACACTTACACCAATAAGCCTAGTCACAAAGTAAGAATCTTTGTTTTAAATATACATTTTGTAAAATGTTTATCAGAAAAACAGCAGGAAAGATTCTAAGAAAATGCGAAATTAAAGGCTCTGTAAATTATTGGCAACATCTTTTACTAAATGTAGCAAGGTAATGACGTAGTAGGAGTTTTCCGAATTTTCAAGATTGTAACTTCAAAAGTTCCTGAGCCTTTTTTCATAAAAAATATAAATATTTCGTATTATATATTACTAAGTACAATATTTATACATTGCCAGGGCAGTCGCTCATACACAATTTTACCATGTCCTGTTGAAACCAAAGGAAATTTGGAAACAAATTTGTCAAAAACTAATCTCTTCCTATACGTCTTTCTATCTATGTCAAAAAGCACCTATAGATATTAACTTTAACTGAAAAAAATTGGAAGTTGTCGACGAATTTTGCTTGTTAGGAATAACCAAAGACAAAAATTTAAATTGGAAACCATATATTCAGAAAGTAAGATTGAAATTTCTGCCGTGGGGTGCCGGCATAGAATATTACACCTCTCCATCTCTTCCCGTGGGTATCGTAAAAGGCGACTAAGGGATCACCAGGAGAACGGGCAGCAGCGTTCTCCTGAGTAACATTACATCTATTGCGATCGCCAACCCGCCTGCCAAGCGTGACGATTATGGCAATAATCCCCCCAAAATGAACAAGCGCATAAACACAACGGCCCCGAGTCACGGCGACCCCGCTATTCCGGCTCACGGTGGCGGGCCTGGTAACGGCGGGGTACGGGGTGCTAAAAATCTCCGGTCGAGATCCGGCCACCAAATAAAACAGACTCTGGCCCTGGTAACACATAACATTCGCACGCTCAGGACTGACGAGAGGATTGCCGAGCTGGAAGAGGAATTGAGCAAGATTCCGTGAGATATTGTAGGGTTGTCAGAAGTCCGAAGACAGGGGGAGGACACGATAACCCTCCGGTCTGGAAACTTGCTCTATCACCGGGAAAGCGACGACTTGTCGCAGGGCGGTGTCGGGTTTATCGTTCGTAAGTCTCTCGTAGCCAACGTGGAGAGGATTGAGCGTGTGTCGAGTCGGGTAGCGTACCTGATACTCAGAATAACCAAACGGTATTCGCTGAAGGTTATCCAGGTCTACGCGCCGACCTCGACGCGCCCCGACGATGAGGTGGAGGCTCTCTACGAGGATATCTCGAAAGTCATTCACTCATTCAAAACTCACTTCACTGTGGTTATGGGAGACTTTAACGCGAAACTAGGCAAAAGGAAAAGCGATGAGTTGAGAGTAGGGCAATTCGGATTCGGGCAGAGAAACCAGAGAGGGCAGAAGTTGGCTGATTTTTTGGAGAAGGAAAATCTGTACATGATGAATTCCTTCTTCAAAAAGTCGCAACAAAGGAAATGGACCTGGATAAGCCCTAATGGTTCGACACGGAAGGAGATAGACTTTAACTTGTCAGACAAACGGCAAATATTCAATGATGTCTCAGTGATCAACAGGGTGAAAACCGGGAGCGATCACCGAATTTTACGAGGCACATTGAATATTCGTGTCAAAGCCGAGCGGTCCCGACTGATGAAGTCTGCTCTACGTCCCACACCTGCCGAGTACGAAAACCCCGAGAGCTTTCGACTCGAACTTCAAAAACACTTCCAATGCCTAGACGAGTGAGAAACGGCGAACGATATGAACAACAATTTTGTGGAAACCACATGGTTGGGTCGAAATTTTTCAGGACCCGCCGTGCTCCTAGAACCGGAAATCTCTCTAACCACACTCTTGAGCTCATGGAACGGAGTATGGAAATAACGGTGCAGTCTCCAGCCTCCTGGTCAAAGATGAGGCAGCTAAATAGACAGATCTCGAAGTCTGTGCGACGCGATATTCGCCTCTACAATACGAAGCGTATTAAAGAGGCGATAGAGCGGAACCAAGGCTCCAAAGTGTTCGCACAAGATCTGTCTATTGGGCAGAGTCAGTTAACCAGACTGAAGACCGACAACGGCACTGTCATTTCTTCCAAAGATGAGATCTTGAGTGAGGTCGAGCTGTTCTATGGACAGTTGTACAAAACATCCCAAATTCCTGTAAACCCGCTTGAAGAACTATTGACCTATCTCGCTCTTGAGCCACGTCTATAAGTTGTTTTCGAGAGTCATTACAAATCGACTTTCGCGCAGGTTCGACGACTTCCAGCCTCCCGAACAAGCCGGTTTCCGAAAGGGCTTTAGTACCATGGACCACATACATACGCTGCGTCAGATCATACAGAAGACCGAGGAGTATAATCGGCCTCTGTGTCTAGAGCTATGTGGACTATGAGAAGGCCTTCGATGCGGTCGAGACTTGGGCGGTGCTGCAGTCCCTCCAGCGGTGCCAAATTGACTATCGATATATCGAAGTGTTTGTATAGAAACGTCACTATGTCAGTCCGAACCCAGGAGAGAAGTACGAAACCGATTCCATTGCAGAAGGGTGTCAGACAGGGGGACGTAATTTCCCCGAAACTGTTCACCGCTGCATTGGAAGACGTCTTCAAGCTTCTGGATTGGACCGGACTCGGCATCAACATCAACGGTGAATACATCATTCACCTTCGATTTGCAGACGATATCGTGGTTATAGCAGAATCCCTGGAGGACCTTGGCACAGTGCTCAATGACCTCAGCAGAGTTTCCCAACGGGTTGGTTTAAGGATGAACATGGATAAAACCAAGGTCATGTTCAATGTCCATGTCACTCCAGCACCAGTATCTGTTGCGAATGCGATTCTCGAAGTTGTCGATCATTACGTCTACCTAGGACAAACAGTCCAGTTGGGCAAATCCAACTTCGAGAAAGAGGTCAACCGACGAATCCAACTCGGATGGGCAGCGTTCGGGAAGCTTAGGCACATCCTCACGGCGAAAATTCCCCAGTGCCTGAGAAGAAGGGTCTATAACCAGTGTGTGTTACCAGTGATGACTTATGGGACTAAGACATGGTCTCTGAATGTCGGCCTCATAACAAAACCCAGAGTCGCGCAGCGTGCTATGGAGAGGGCTATGCTCGGTGTTTCCTTACGTGATAAGATCCGAAATACGGAGATCCGTAGAAGGACCGGTGTGTACGACATAGCCCGAAGAGTTAGCACGCTGAAGTGGCAATGGGCAGGCCACATCGCTCGAGGATCTGACAACCGTTGGGTAAGAAAGGTCCTCGAGTGGCGACCACGTACCG